CTCTCTCTCTCTCTCTGCCTCTTTCATCCTCTCTCTCCGCCTCTCCTCACTCTCTCTGCCTGCATCTCTTGTTGTAGGATTGGGGTCAGTTGGCTCGCGAGCTCAAGCTGCCAAGCAGATGCCAAATTAAATTTATATGTGATGTGTGCTCACTTTCCACAATAAAAAGGGGCCAAAAAAATCTGCCCAAACCCAACGATACGAGACTCAGAAGTCAAATAAGTAACCGGTAGTAAATCTGTTCTGCACCGATTTGTGCAGCATTACATTAATTCAGTTGTGCTTTAAATACATAATAACACAAGAATCGTCCATTTCTCAGGCTGTCAAAAGCCAGAAACAATCAAATTCTTCCCTCTTTACATCAAAGAACACGTTAATTCAATTTCTGATATTTAAGGAATCCCCAGTTTACAACAGAACAGTGTAAGGTCACATCTGGGTCTCCTTTTCAGCCCGAGCTCCCCTCCTTCACCCATAATTAGCCTGTTACCAAAAAGACCTGATGTAATCCCTGCACATTACAGCCCACCAGACAGCACCATTTAATGTCAGCATGACCCAAATCTGCCACGACCTCTGTGCTCTGGCATATGTCACACTTCCTGCCACCTAAGCAGAGACATTAGTCCAGAATAAAAGACAAATGTTAGAGGGTCTGGCCGATCCAAGACAGACTCTGACTGAATTCCCAGAGAATGAGTAAATTCCCTCTCTGATGAGTCAATGGGGATGCCAGAGGAATGATGGGGATGATGGGAAATACTGAAAGCGAGGGGTAAATATCTTCAGTATGACCCCATTCTCAAATAATCTATTTCCATGTTTAATTCAAAACCTTGCTTTATATTGTGTGATATTACATTTAGTTTTAGGAGGAACAGTAAAATACAGGCTGTCTAAATGCAGATCACAGAAACAATCTTAAAGAAAGTGTCCAACTAATTCTGTTTCACACCAGTAAAACTATTTATATACAGAAAGAAGATTTTTTACATGATTTATGATTAAAACGTAGGATAAAATGTATGAAAAGTGAGAAATGGAGGATAGACTTGACACAAGAAACAAACCTAGTGCTTTTTTGCTGCTTTTGGTAGTTCAACTTAACAATTAACCAAGAAAACTGTCAGCAGAGTAACTGATAATCAGAATAACCCTGCTGTTAACAAAAAGCTCTGATGTAACATAACACACACACACGCAGACATAAAGCGAGTTCTCTCCACCTTCACTTACCAATGAATGAAATGGCCTCGGGGAAAAACTGAGAGAGGTTCTGGCTCCAGTGATCGGAGATGGGGATCTGTTTGTACTTGAAGTCCCCTTCGTGTTCGAACATGTTGGGCAGGTTGGGCGTCACGTTGAGGATGTACTTGATATTGTACTTGCCGAGCACATCCAGGTTGGTGGAGTCTTTGGCACAGCCCAGGTAAAGGTACGGCAGGATCTGGACGGGAAACGCTGGCTGGTTGTTGGGGAGCGGGCTGCCCTCAGACTCCGTGGCGCTGCCCGGCTCGCGGTCAGATTCCCCATCTGAGCAGTCCGAGCTGATGCGGAGTCCTCCCAGGCCGAGGACGGAGGCTGGTGGGGAGCTGCTGGGACAGGAGCAGTCCAAATTGGTCTCGCAGTGCTCGGGGTACTCCGACTGGAACTTGTTGAAGCCCCCTGGAGGATGAGGAAAAGACCAGTAAAGGGTCAATATTAAGATAAAGACAAGAAATCAATTTTACTTGGCGGTATAAGAAAAGTGCTTTGTACATGACCACAGGGCTGGGTTCTGTCTTGTTTAATGCAACATCGACAAAATGGCAGCTGAATGTCTGCAGGATACAAGAGGTGGATCATGAACCTGAATGACAAGAAGTTAACCTTTTGGATGTTTGAACAGCAGTGAATAGAATAGAAAGAAGCATACACATAAATAAATAAATGAAACTTAGATCATCAAAAAGATAATAATGGTGGTAAATGATGATATTAAACAATCACTTCATTCACACCAGAATTAACTCACATGCATCACAGACAGTATAACATGTGCTATTTCTACCATGATATGGATTTAGAACAGAATAGGTTTTTGTAAAAATGCGTTGTTGTTTTTTTTTCATCACATCTTTTTATGAACCACTCAGAGTCAGACAATAGGAGGGGGGAAAAACGTGATATTTGCGTCGTTGTGAATAAGCAAACATGCAGGACAGATGTGTGCTCCATTGAGAAAAGCTGAGCCCTGGGGAGAACCAGCAGCAGAGCAGGACAGTCGGCTCTGCTGCTGCCACAACACTCACTACTCAGCTCAGTGGACTTTTTGTGAATGGCAGCTCGGCTTGTGACTCCGGTGGAAGCATTCCTGTGATTGCCTACAAATCAAACACAAGCCATATCTCCAAACGCTGCCATATGTTGTACACGTATCTATCCATCTATCTATGCGGTTTTATTGGACGATAATGTATTTTAATTTCACTGCTGGAGTATTTTTTTTTTTCACAGTGCGTCGTCGTTTTTTCCTGTTCATTCATGAAAAAAAAAAAAAAAAAAAACACACACACACACACAAAAACGCCAGTCTTTTCCTGAAGGAGCACAACATGGCGGGGCCGTTTCTGCAGCATTACATTGAAAACATATTTTGACACAGCTCTGTAGCCTGGATAGAGACATTTTTGACGTTTCTTTACATTGGCTTTAAGAGGCTCGCTCCTCATAAGAAAATAAAATAAAGACGGTCATTTATGTCGGCTGTAAGTTAAAAGGAAGTGTTCTGTCAAAGTTCATTATGACTTCTCAGTGAGTGGAGCTGGTGTGTTTCATTGTAACGCTGCCTCCTTATAATAAATAACTGAGTAACTTTGGTCCGAGGATTTATCCGAAGCATCGCCACACTGTGACACTTAAATACCTCTACAAACTATTTAATAATGTAATAACGTTTACACTAATGGCTTGTCACATGTGAAAAGGCGCTTTATTATCATCATTAAATATCGTCAAAGAGCCCAAATCTCAAGCGTTCTGTCGCAGATAAGACTGGAAACAGACTTCAGAAGACACAATCCCAATAAACGTGAAATGATCCCAGGCCCGATAAACCAATAAGATTTATATTGTTGTTTTAGCATTAATTGATTACTGTTTATTAAAAAAGTAACAGTGAGAATGGCACATTCAGAACAGCCGCATGTCCTGTAATCTCAGGTAATTCAATCCGAGGGAAATTCAACTATTTGTCTTTCTGCTGAGAGGACAGAGTTCTTTTTTTTTATGAATTAAAAAAGGGACTACAACACTGATTCAGACATTCAACATTTTTAAAGCCAGCAGTGTCCTGGTCTTACCCTCCAGATAGAAAGCCTTGCACCCGTCGTCCCGCAGTTTTTGCAGGAGCAGCCCCAGCACGGAGCTCCCCAGCCCGGACTCCTGCCGCTCCGGGGTCGCCTCGTCGTACAGAACCACCACGTCCGTCTTGCACCGCTTGACAAATTTCTCCTTATCCTCGTTGTTGGGGATGATGGAGCGGATGGGGAGGTTGCCCTTCTTCAGCCTCCGGAGCATGAGGCCCGGGATGGCCAGGTTGATGGCCGACTCGATGTGCGAGGACTCGTACAGCTCATGGGGTCTGCAGTCCAGCAGCAGCAGAGAGCTGGCCCCGGACTCCAGCTCCTCCTGCAGCCACTCCACGCTCTTACTCGACATCATCATCATAGTCACGATCACAGAGCCTCTCCACAGATGATTAATTTTCATCAGGGAAACGTTAATCCGCCCGTCCCCCGGTGTGACATGAGAAATAACACAAGAGAATAGAGGGAAAGAAGTAAAATCACGGCGCTAAACTTCCCTTCCCGCGGCCACCACCACCGCCGCCGCCACCGCTGCTGCTGCTGC